ATCGTCCGGAACGTATCCATGCACCAGGAGCGCGGCCTGAGTGGGCCCAGCCACTCCAAGACTCAGTGTGCCATTGTTTACAAGCTGTTGCAGTCGATTCCATGTGTGCCTGTCATATACGTATTTTGGATTATTCCAGTGTTTTTAGTGCTTTTAACTCTTAATAAGCCACCATGGGCCCCAAGAAAGCTCCTAGTGCCAAGCCTGTGTTAAAAAGGGTGAGAATTATGGTGGAAATGAAGAACGAGATAATTGAAAAATATGAGAGTGGAGTGCGTATGTCTGAGTTGGAAAGGCAATACAACAAATCACATTCAACCATCAGTTCTATCTTGGCGAAAAGACAGGCAATCGAGGAAGCTGTTGTTGCGAAAGGTTCAAGTATGTTTTCAAAACGGAGACCGCAAATAATTGAAGAGGTAGAGAGACTCTTATTGGTATGGATAAACGAAAAACAAATATCAGGAGATAATATTTCTCAGGCTATAATTTGTGAAAAGGCAAGGAAGTTGCATGAAGATCTCATTAAGAAAATGCCTCAAAATAGTGCTGCTGCTGATGAATTTAAGGCCAGCAAAGGCTGGTTTGAGAGATTTAAGATTTGTAGTGGCATACACAGTTTGGTAAGACATGGTGAGGCAGCCAGTTCAGACAAAAAAGCGGCTGAAAAATATGTGGACTTTAAGGAATACATAGACTGAAAACTTAAAACCTGAACAAGTGTTTAATTGTGACGAAAAAGGCCAGTTTTGGAAGAAAATGCCAAACAGGACCTATATTACTCAGGAGGAAAATGCACTCCCAGGACATAAGCCTATGAAAGACACGCTGACATTAATGAAGGGATTCAGGGAAACCGGCAGGCCGGACTTGAGTCCTGGAGATGGGAAGTACAGTGCCTGCACTCTGAAGGAGGGGTGTTAATGTTGCAGTTTAAAAACTGTAGTGTAAAGCACCCTTCTGGCAAGACAGTGATGGAGTGAATGATGGTGAAAGTTTTTCTTTTTCGGGCCACCCTGCCTTGGTGGGAATCGGCCAGTGTGATAATAAAAATAATAAAATAGTAATGCTAGTGGTGACTGCAAAGTGAAGCCTTTATTGGTGTATCACTCTGAAACTCCCAGAGTGTTCAAGAAAAACAATATCATCAAGGGTAATTTGTGTGTGCTGTGGAGATCAAACAGTAAGGCATGGGTCACTATGCTCCTGCTCATCCTCACGACTTGCAAGAGGAAATTGCAGGGGAGTTTGGTTTTGTTAAGGTGAAGTTTTTGCCTCCTAATACAACTCTTCTCCTCCAGCCCATGGACCAGAAAGGTCATTTCAAACTACAAAAAACTCTACACTAAAGCAGTGTTTCAAAAGTGCTTTGAAGTGACCTAAGACACTCAATTGACCCTAAGAGAGTTTTGGAAAGATCACTTCAATATCCTCAGTTGTGTAAATCTTATAGGTAAGGCTTGGGAGGGAGTGACTAAGAGGGCCTTGAACTCTGCTTGGAGGAAACTGTGGCCAGAATGTGTAGAAGAGAGGGATTTTGAAGGGTTTGGGGCTAACCCTCAGGAGGCTATGCCAGTAGTGGAAGCTATTGTGTCATTGGGGAAGTCCTTGAGGTTGGAGGTTTGTGGCGAGGATGTGGAAGAGTTGGTGCAGAACGACGAGGAAGAACTAACCACTGCAGACCTGCAAGAGCTTCAGATGCAACAGCAACAGATCACATCTCAGGAATGTTCTTCAGAACAGGATGAAGAGAGATGGAGGAAGATGACTTCGTCAAGGATTAGGGAAATGTGTTCAATGAATTTTATCCTGTCACAGAAGTTGCAAGCCATATTGGCAACATGTACAATGACACTCTTGTGTCCCATTTTAGGGAAATCCTATGGGCACGTGAGAAACAGAGCTCTCTGGACAGTTTTTTTGTGCAACAGGGGTCCAGTGACTCTCAAGCTGGTCCTAGAGGCATCAAAAAACTAAGAAGGGAGGTAACCCCACCAAAGGACTTGGTACCTCAAGTATTTATGGAAGGGGATTCCCCTTCCAAACAATAAAACACCTGCATCATCTTCCCTTCTACCATCTCATCACTCATCAACAACTCCACAATAAAGGTAAGTGGTATTTAATTATTGTTTATTTTGCATGTCCCATTCGTTCTGGTGTAGGAAAATGTATATTTCATGTAAAAAATTTTGTTTTTTTTCATACTTTTGGGTGTCAGGAATGAATTAATTCTATTTCCATTATTTCTTATGGGGAAAATTAATTCGACCAATGGCAAATTCGACTAACAGCAAGCTCTCTGGAACGGATTAATGCCGTAATGTTTTCCCTCCACCTGGCAACCACACCTCCACAGCATATAAACAGCACGTTTATATGCTACGTAATATGTTTCTTATAAATTTTGAAGAAAATATCATAGATGGATTAATGAAAATGACTATATTGATGTAAAATTAGACATTTAATGTGCCCAAGAGTGATTATTACATAATAGAGAGATGTGCTCATGGAGAATGTAAACAAACTAGGTGGCGTGCGCCGTATTTGAAAGACCGCTTGCCATATAGAAAGTTTTGGTCATAATTTGAGATCGCTGTATGTATTAGCAAAACGCCGAAAAGCGGGGCCCTACTGTACTTTATTTTATTCCTACTGTATCTATTTTTATTTAAATTAATTTTTATTTTAATTTTCATGCATTTGATTTACCCAGTTTTATTTTTAGTTTTAATAATCATGACTGATTTTTCACTGTATCCAACAGTTAGGTTTGGCTCTTAGAAGTGTCCGGTGGCTTGATTGACAACGCTCTTGCCTCACACATCATGCATCTGTGGTTTAATCCCCGGCAAGGGTGGAAACGTTGGGCATGTTTCCTACACCTGCTGTCTCTGTTCACTAGGTAATAAGAAGGCACCTGGGTGTTAGTGGACTGGTGTGGGTCGCATCCTGGGCAACAAGATTAAAGGACCACAATGGAAATAAGACAGATAGTCCTTGATGATGCAACTGACTTTATTGAACACTCCCCTGGGTTGTCCTGGGTGGCTAACACTCCCCTGGATTGTCCTGGGTGGCTAACACTCCCCTGGGTTGTCCTGGGTGGCTAACACTCCCCTGGGTTGTCCTGGGTGGCTAACACTCCCCTGGATTGTCCTGGGTGGCTAACACTCCCCTGGGTTGTCCTGGGTGGATAACACTCCCCTGGGTTGTCCTGGGTAGCTAACACTCCCCTGGATTGTCCTGGGTGGCTAACACTCCCCTGGATTGTCCTGGGTGGCTAACACTCCCCTGGTTGTCCTGGGTGGCTAACACTCCCCTGGATTGTCCTGGGTGGCTAACACTCCCCTGGGTTGTCCTGGTGGCTACACCTCCCTGGATTGTCCTGGGTGGCTAACACTCCCCTGGATTGTCCTGGGTGGCTAACACTCCCCTGGATTGTCCTGGGTGGCTAAACACTCCCTGGATTGTCCTGGGTGGCTAACACTCCCCTGGGTTGTCCTGGGTGGCTAACACTCCCCTGGGTTGTCCTGGGTGGCTAACACTCCCCTGGGTTGTCCTGGGTGGCTAACACTCCCCTGGGATGTCCTGGGTGGCTAACACTCCCCTGGGATGTCCTGGGTGGCTAACACTCCCCTGGGATGTCCTGGGTGGCTAACACTCACACAGTTTCAAAATCCAAACAAAACTTATCTTAACCCCCACAGAAATAATTTCCTTTGTCACTTTTTTTATCCAAAAAAATGAGCAAAACTGTGTTTACATGGGCATTTATCAGTGTTGTAACGTTATATACGATGTAACGTTATATACGATGTAACGTTATATACGATGTAACGTTATATATGATGTAACGTTATATACGATGTAACATATACGATGTAATGTTATATATGATGTAACATTATATACGATGTAACATTATATACGATGTAACGTTATATACGATGTAACATTATATACGATGTAACGTTATATACGATGTAACGTTATATACGATGTAACGTTATATACGATGTAACACTATATACGATGTAACGTTATATACGATGTAACATTATATACGATGTAACGTTATATACGATGTAACATTATATAAGATGTAACATTATATACGATGTAACATTATATACGATGTAACATTATATACGATGTAACATTATATACGATGTAACACTATATACGATGTAACATTATATACGATGTAACATTATATACGATGTAACATTATATACGATGTAACATTATATACGATGTAACATTATATACGATGTAACACTATATACGATGTAACATTATATACGATGTAACATTATATACGATGTAACATTATATACGATGTAACATTACATACGATGTAACATTATATACAATGTAATATTATATACACTGTAATGTTATATGTGATGCAACAATGTATACAATGTAATGTTATATACAATGTAACATTATGTACACTGTAACGTTATATACGATGTAACGTTATATATATGATGAGTTTCAATGATTATTATCCTTTATGATACAGTAAATGTTTGGGAAATATAAGTCTCTGCTGATTAACAAGTACTAATGACAAAAACTAAACCCGTAAGGTATTTCAGAACCAAAGAAATTGAAGGACTGGCAGTGTTATAGGTAGATCATAATTGTAGAAGGGCAACTTCAGCTTCTTAGATCAAGAGCCCTACAAAGGTTTCATTAATATTATTGTTATAACAAGGAAGCGCTAAACCCACTCGGGTTTCCCAGTGTCAATACACTCTCCTGAAGGGAAGGCAGATTACTTTTATAATCAAGGAGCGCTAAACCCGTAAGATTATGCAGTGCCTGTGGTGGGGGCTTACTTCAGGGAACTAAAGCATAGCTCCAATTCCCTAGATCAAGAGCCTCTCACCAACGTTAAGGAACCTTCCCAAGAAATACCAACATATTTCTCGTCTTTATTACGAGTTTGTCCTGATTACCGTTGATGTGTCTGCCATCCCACTCACCTCACACGACCATTATCATGCAGCAACTCATGAAAATCTTCAAATAATGAAGAGAGAAAGGTTGAGAGCAATGTTGTGGGTGACCACAGCTTTCTTTGTCCTTATTATGGGTGTCTAGGGCCACCATAACTGACGCCGTATACGACCTTGTCCTTGTTATGGGTGTCTAGGGCCACCATAACTGACGCCGTATGCGACTCCCTCGACCCGTTACCGTCACCTCCGGCAAGTGGTCAGTGTATGTTGGTAGGTCGGTAATTATGTAAGTTTGTAGGCAGGTAAATAAGTAAATAGGCAAGTAAGTAAGTAGGTAAGTAAGTGGGTAGGTAGGTATATAGTTAAATAAGTAAAGTTAATGAATCAGTAGGTACGTTAATAAATAAGTAGGTAAGTTAATAAGTAAGGACTAAGTAGATAGGTAAGTAAATAAAAGTAAATTTATTTAAGTACAGATACACATAAGTATAATTATCACACATAGTATCACGAGTAAATTACTTAAGATATCCCCAAAAAAAGTCAGACGAAGTAAATTATTTCAAATGAGGGTCCTTGGAATTTTTATTGTGGATGGAAATTGTGAAAGGAACCTGAGATTCCTTCCAGAACAGAAACGGGATCATAAAGTCCCCACTTAGTTCAGGTGGATATGACACCTACAGTGAGGCAACAGTGACAAAGGTACGCACTGTATCATCAAGCAGCTTCTCTCAGGCCGTAGAAATCCACTCAGTGGAACACCGCAGCTGGGTACATCAGTGGGTTACAAAACAAAGTTGAAGAATAAGAACTTGTGCAGCTTGTGGGTATCTCTACTGTGGAAACGTGTTCCCAGCCAGTGTCTTCTTCAGTCCAATACAGGAAGAACGGTAGAGGACTAGAAGGATGTCCAAGTGTCAGTTCATCAGTCTTGATGGACGTATCCTGAAGACGAGAACTCTATCTGATAGTTGCCAAACACGTCGGAAGTTGTCTGACAAGGATGTCAGCCACAGCACCGTGTCTTCCTTTGCAGATGACACCCGAATCTGCATGACAGTGTCTTCCATTGCAGACACTGCAAGGCTCCAGGCGGACATTAACCAAATCTTTCAGTGGGCTGCAGAAAACAATATGAAGTTCAACGATGAGAAATTTCAATTACTCCGATATGGTAGACACGAGGAAATCAAAACTTCATCAGAGTACAAAACAAATTCCGGCCACAAAATAGAGCGAAAAACAAACGTCAAAGACCTGGGAGTGATCATGTCGGAGGATCTCACCTTCAAGGACCATAACATTATATGAATTGCAGCTGCTAGAAAAATGACAGGATGGATAATGAGAACCTTCAAAACTAGGGATGCCAAGCCCATGATGACACTCTTCAGGTCGCTTGTTCTATCTAGGCTGGAATATTGCTGCACACTAACAGCACCTTTCAAGGCAGGTGAAATTGCTAACCTAGAAAATGCACAGAGAACCTTCACGGCGCGCATAACGGAGATAAAAACACCTCAGTTACTAGGAGCGCTTGAAGTTCCTGAACCTGTATTCCCTGGAACGCAGGCGGGAGAGATACATGATTATATACACCCGGAAAATCCTAGAGGGACTAGTACCGAACTTGCACACGAAAATCACTCACAACGAAAGCAAAAGACTTGGCAGACGATGCAACATCCCCCCAAAGAAGAGCAGGGGTGTCACTAGCAAGTTAAGTTAAGATAAGATAAGATAAGATAAGATTTCGTTCGGATTTTTAACCCCGGAGGGTTAGCCACCCAGGATAACCCAAGAAAGTCAGTGCGTCATCGAGGACTGTCTAACTTATTTCCATTGGGGTCCTTAATCTTGTCCCCCAGGATGCGACCCACACCAGTCGACTAACACCCAGGTACCTATTTGCTGCTAGGTGAACAGGACAATAGGTGTAAGGAAACGTGTCGGAATTTCCACCCGCCGGGAATCGAACCCGGGCCCTCCGTGTGTGAAGCGGGAGCTTTAGCCACCAGACCACCAGGCCACACCACCAGACCACCAGGCCACAATACAATAAGAGACAATAAGAGACAATACAATAAGTGTCAGGGGCCCGAGACTGTTCAACTGCCTCCCAGCATACATAAGGGGGATTACCAATAGACCCCTGGCAGTCTTCAAGTTGGCACTGGACAAGCACCTCAAGTCAGTACCTGACCAGCCGGGCTGTGGCTCGTACGTTGGATTGCGTGCAGCCAACAGTAACAGCCTGGTTGATCAGGCTCTGATTCACCAGGAGGCCTGGTCACAGACCGGGCCGCGGGGGCGTTGACCCCCGGAACTCTCTCCAGGTAAACTCCAGGTAAACCATATACCTGCTATCCCTGTTCACCTATCAGTAAGTAGGTACCTGGGTGTTAGTCACCATATACCTGCTGTCCCTCTTCACCTAGCAGTAAGTAGGTACCTGGGTGTTAGTCACCATATACCTGCTGTCCCTGTTTACCTAGCAGTAAGTAGGTACCTGGTTGTTAGCCACCATATACCTGCTGTCCTTGTTCACTTAACAGTAAGTAGGTACCTGGATGTTAATCACCATATACCTGCTGCCCTGTTCACCTAGCAGTAAGTAGGTACCTGGGTGTTAGTCACCATATACCTGCTGTCCTTGTTCACCTAGCAGTAAGTAGGTACCTGGATGTTAGTCACCATATACCTGCTGCCCTGTTCACCTGGCAGTAAGTAGGTACCTGGATGTTAGTCACCATATACCTGCTTCCCTATTCAGCTAGCAGTAAGTAGGTACCAGGGTGTTAGTCACCATATACCTGCTGTCCCTGTTCACCTAGCAGTAAGTAGGTACCAGGGTGTTAGTCACCATGTACCTTCTGTCCTTGTTCAGCTAGCAGTAAGTAGGTACCAGGGTGTTAGTCATCATATACCTGCTGTCCCTGTTCACCTAGCAGTAAGTAGGTACCTGGGTGTTAGTCACCATATACCTGCTGTCCCTTTTCACCTAGCAGTAAGTAGGTACCTGGGTGTTAGTCACCATATACCTGCTGTCCCTGTTCAGCTAGCAGTAAGTAGGTACCAGGGTATTAGTCACCATATACCTGCTATCCCTGTTCACTTAGCAGTAAGTAGGTACCTGGGTGTTAGTCACCATATACCTGCTGTCCCTGTTCAGCTAGCAGTAAGTAGGTACCAGGGTGTTAGTCACCATATACCTGCTATCCCTGTTCACTTAGCAGTAAGTAGGTACCTGGGTGTTAGTCACCATATACCTGCTGTCCCTGTTCACCTAACTGGTGAGGGGCTCTTGATCCAATAAACTGGACTTATCCACCTTTTCTTTGAATCATAACTGAATGCCTGTCATTCCACAAGCGATACATGACCCCTAACAGTTTAACGCTTTCCACCGATTAATGTTCATCAGTTTTAAAGATGCATCTGATTCTCTACAATACCTAGAGAATGTCTCCTTCGGTCGACTTCAAACTTGTGGTCCTGATGTATTTTTCTCAAAAAAAAAAATATTACCTTGATCTTAGGTTGTGTTGGGTTTAATGTTTCAATTTTATTAAAAAAATTATTTTCTGTGATATAACTGGAAAAAGTCTTTAATGACCAGAAATAAATCACAGTGATTGACATTATTCTTTTTCATCCTAGGTTAAATATACATATTATTATTTTAAATTTATATACGGTGGCCCCGTGGCCTGGTGGTAATAGGTTTAGCTTCACACGACGAGGGTCTGGGTTCGATTCCCGGAGAGGGTAGAAACACTGGGCATGTTTCTTTACACCGATTGTCTATGTTCATCCATCAGTAATAATGGTTACCTGGGTGTTAGTGGACTGGTGTGGGTCGCATCCTGGGTGTTAGTGGACTGGTGTGGGTCGCATCCTGGGTGTTAGTGGACTGGTGTGGGTCGCATCCTGGGACAAAACTGACCTAATTTACGGGAAATGCTCAGCATAACAAGGGGATTTCTATATAGTAGTATGTCATTGATGTCAGCTATGGTCTGTATACCTTGTACATGTACTGGTAGTAAATAAAGATATTTTTATTATTATTATTATTATTATTATTATTATTATTATTATTATTATTATTATTATTATTATTAATATTATTATGAAAGTTTTTCTTTTTCGGGCCACCCTGCCTTGGTGGGAATCGGCCAGTGTGATAATAATAATAAAAAAAATAACATCTCTAAATCACTGTAGAAAAATTGCATATTATGTATCGGAAGTTAAAATTAAATTTTCTTAATTATTTATCAATATACATTCCTACTTACTTGCTACTTAATCTTAGATAAAAGTTCGGGTTGATTTGGGCATTGCAGGTCAAAAATTTTTTTTATGTAGAATAACTAGGAAAACTGAAATAGTTATTTTTATGCGATAATTTCTGAAAGCCTGGATCAGTGCCTGGATCAGTGCCTGGATCAGTGCCTGGATCAGTGCCTGGATCGGTGCCTGGATCGGTGCCTGGATCAGTGCCTGGATCAGTGCCTGGATCAGTGCCTGGATCAGTGCCTGGATCGGTGCCTGGATCAGTGCCTGGATCAGTGCCTGGAACAGTGCCTGGATCAGTGCCTGGAACAGTGCCTGGAACAGTGCCTGGAACAGTGCCTGGAACAGTGCCTGGAACAGTGCCTGGATCAGTGCCTGGAACAGTGCCTGGAACAGTGCCTGGATCAGTGCCTGGATCAGACTTCCATCACTCTTCATTGATGTTACCTTGAAAATGCAAATTCCGAGCGGCTTCAAACTTAATGTGCTGGTGAATTTTATGGTATGGCTCTCTGTGAGATAATAAGAGGATGTGTCTTCAGTTTAGCTTCATAAAACGGCGTCTCTTAGCGGAAGGTTTGAATTAGTTTCGGGCAGTATATGTCCTAATTTATCCATCTTTTAAAGAAATTTGATATTAATCAATATTTACCTTTTCTGATTTACTGCAAGTCTTCAGCGCCATTACTTAACTACATCAGATATTTACGTCTTATTCATTCCTTTTATTCATTTGGCGTGCACTGAGGTACAGAGGACTGGAGTTATGTAATACTGGGATACCATAGACTGGGGTTATGTAATACTGGGATACCATAGACTGGGGTTATGTAATACTGGGATACCATAGACTGGGGTTATGTAATACTGGGATAC